ACGAGCCACCATCCTATTTTTAAATCGACCCTATGACTGTTCGTTGATATTCGTTCGTCGTGGAAGTTTGCCAAGTTACGAAGGTGCTATAGTTGAGATCTCGATGACTGCAGTTTTAGTCGGAACGGTTCGGGGAACGGTTCTTGGTAAACACTTTAACGATAAAGCCGCGAATCCTTCGCTCTCTGCAAGAGGTTCGCAAACGTTAGTAATAACAATATGTATGCAGTAAAGTAAGCATTTGGACGAGATCAGTAACGTTCATGAAACTATCGCTTCCCCAGTTTGTATGTATTTGCGCAGCTATGGCTTCAAAAGTTATTACAAGTCATCATACTTAATTAAAAAGTGTGACAATGAAAAGAGAAAAGATTTAACAAATTTTAAACCTAGCAAATCTTCATATTAGATTTTGATAAATTTGAATCGTTCAAAAATTATAGTCGAAGGACAGAAAGCAACACCGAACTATTTATTTGAACATTTGATCAAAATTCACTTATAACAATAAATAATAAGATTATCATTGAGATTTCGACTTCAGAACACGGTTTGTTACATCGTTCAACATGTATCTAATTTCCAATCTTCAATAATTTCAAATCAATTTCTAATTTTCCAATCTTCAGTAGGTGATTTCTGTAGACATTTACGAGCTAAACACGAATCTGCAAACCGGTTTTCCCTAAACCCTGCAGTTTTCGAAAAAAATCAATTTTAAGAAGAATTGCATATCTTCAACTTTGGAGATGTTGCGTGCTTTTACAGTAACATTATCGAGTTGCGATTGAAACGAAAAAATTCTGTGACCTCTCCTGAATAAAATGATATGTACTGTTATTGCATTATAAACATTTATAGATGTTTAAATGCACTGTTTTTTATTTACATTTTCCAATTCATTCCAAAAGCTACAGGTCTAGAAGAAAATCTAATATTAGTACGCGATAGAACAGATTTATGTTAAGGAAAGCATTAAGAAAAGCGTTAAGAAAAGCTAGAAAATCACCTTTTGATTTAAATGCAAAAGCGAAACGTAATATCATATTCGACAGAATACAGGGCGGCGACAGTGGTACTCAACGTTGACGGATGCTTTGCCTACCGTTCGGCATACCGGAACCGTTAAATGCGCGCGGTCGTTAGCCGCCGGCATTGAGTGCCATTGCCGTAGCCACGTGTTTTGCCAAACTTCTTCGTTTTTTCATTGGAATTAAAAGGTGACTTTCTAGTTTTTCTTTATCCTTTCCTTAGCAAAAATGTCTGCTCTATCGCGTAATAATGTTAGAATTTCCTTTAGTCCTTTAGTTTTTTAAATAAATCGGAAAATGTAAGCAAAAAGTGGTCCGTTTTAGGTGTCCTTTTCACCTTGATCATCGTTTAAAAATATTTAAATATTTAGAATGCAGTAACGGTACATATCCTTTTATTCGGGAGAGTCCACAGTATTTTGTCGTCTCAACCGCAACTCGATATTTGTTACTGTAAAAAGCACAAAACATCTTCAAAGTTGAAAATTTGCAATTTTTTTCAAACCTGATTTTTTTCAATAACTGTGGCTTCTGGGAAAGAAACAGTTTGCAGATTCGTGTTTAGCTCAAAAGTTTACAAGATCCATCTACTGAAGGTTGCATCATCGGAAAAAAGTTAAAATTTGTTAAACAGTGTTATGGAATTAATACTAATGCTATTAATTAATACCAAATTCTTTTATAATAGCATAACAGTAATAAATTTGGTAATAAAACACAAATTGAAATTTTATAAGTTGCAGATAAATTAGCTCTGTCTACTGTATTTGATGTGTATTTGTAAAATTACAAAAGCTGTCAAACAACTTACAAAAACATACATGCAAGCCTGTAACAGATAATTATTTGTCAATTCAATTCACTAATATCCTTTGTTTCCGTATGAATAATCTGATATATTTGTATGGTAGAAATATTAGATTTAATTGTACCGTAAGATTAGACGTGGAAATTACATCTACTAAGCTATGTATACTATACGTACATACGTATGTTTCATAGATATATACTTGTAACCCTTTCTTTTTTAATATAAATTTTAATTTTCATTCTCGGCACGATTTATGGATAGTAACGAGGCGTATGCCGCCTTTAATCGTTGTATCGTGAAAACGGATTCTAGATACTATATACTATATATTATACGCTATAAAAAGAGTATAAAATGAAATTTTTTCCTCCGAGACTTAGTTTTCGAGATATTCAAAATTGAAAATTTGTCAATTGCACGTACTCGAACTTGGTTAATTACCAATTGGGTACGTATGAACGACCAATAAGATGTTATTGTAGATGCAAAAATAAGTAAAAGATTGAGAATAACATTTTTCCGCTTAGGGTTTCATTTTCATGAAAATAGAGTTTAGTTAAGAATCGGCCTTAATATACCTTAATATACCACGCGTATGATACATTTTCAAATTTATATTTCTCGAAAACAAAGCTTCTTGTGAACAAGTTTTATCGTACATTTTCGACTTACTTTCACACATAGAATGACCCCCTGTCCATTATTTAGTTCTATCCAGGTCGGAATTTGTCACGTTCAATTATGCTTGATGAATTTTCAAACTTGATTTTTTCGAAAACAAAGCCACGAACGAACAAATTGTACTGTATACTTCTCTCTTATCTCTCCACAAAGAACCGCCACTCATCCGCTTGACGTGTTTTTGGGGTCGCCTGCATATAACCTGTACATACATTACTATACATAGCTACACATATGTATTAAATAGTGTCGATTACTTTCACCATTTAACTATATAAAATAAATGGTTGTAGGCTCGATAAACGCACATGCTCTACTATTATTTTATCGACATGCAGTATATTTAATTTTTTTTTTATATTTTTGTAGAAATGATATTTCTATAAATCGTAACATACATTTGTTCAATCGTGTTCAATCTTTATATCCCTCGATCATTCTGTTTAAGCACTTAAGTTATTATATTGTCACAAGTGCATCAATACGTCAATTACCATTGTTTCAGTATCTACATCTACACTATCACATCTCTATCGGTAAAGTGTAAACGAAATTCAATTATCTTTAGTATAGTAATAATTATGTACACGAATGAATTAAAAACTAACAATATTATAAGTACATATATGTATGTATATAACACTCAGTAATAACAATAAGTACTAATTAATATAATTTATACGGTATCCTATTGCATTATTGCTCGGATGCTTAACAACAACAGTTTGTGTATGTGTAAATGGATGTATAATGGCTGTATAATGGCTGTATAATCTTAATGCCGCTGCCGTAAAAGGGTTAATTGCAAAAAGACATTGCAGTCGTATCCAACTTTTAATTCTGCGATCTTGTTTTAATCTTAAACTTGTCGAATTGAAAAGTATATGGTATAGTATAGTATACTATATAAGTATATATACTTATATAGTACGTAACTGTTTGCTTTAGCATCAGTATCTATCACAGATGCATCAATGGTGCATATACCGTAGGATGCGTCAACGTTCGCAAACATTCGCGAGCGTAGTGTTCAGTGCTCGTGGTCATGCGCGTCACGTTAATCTACCGGTATTCGCCGGTATTCTTCCACGGCGCGTCGTGTTGCGTTGCGTCAGATAGAGACGCGGTTTTGTACTAGCAATAATAGCGGTACTTACCACATCCTTCTATTCGACCGTGTAATCAGCCTCAGATAAAAGCATATTATTCCCTATTTTCGATTTATTTTTGCATAAGATACTATCACTGCCTATATGCATGTACAGGGTGGTTAGTAACTGGTGGTACAAGCGGAAAGGGGGTGATTCTACGCGAGAAAAGAAGTCGAAAATATAGAATAAAAATCTTTTTTTTCATTTTTCCATCGAGGCAACGATCTACAATGAGATCCGTTATAACGAGACGCGATAAAGTGCACGCGTACCGAGCGAAAATTCAAAGTCGATTTTCTCCAAAACAAAGCCTCAAACGAAAAATTTTTATTTCCGCTTGTACCACCAGTTACCAACCACCCTGTATATATGTATACGATATATGTATACGATACCTACACTCTGCAGATTGTAAACATGATAATTTGTATTTACGTGTTAAAATCATATTAGTTCTAAAAATATATTCGCAACATTTCGTTTTCGACTTTTAATCACAGAGTTAATAGCGATGTTTCTTATTTATCAAAAAGAATTTAAAATATTTACATAAAAAAATTAATTATCTACAATTGTTTCTTTTAGAAGTAGACATTTAGATTGAAAAATATTTTTCGTAGTTATCGTAGTTCGTTTGCTGCGGTCGTTCATAACATAACATAAGTAAAATACGAAGCAACAGAAGTAGCCATTCGTTGAAATATTAAATCTATTCGTGTATCCTGCGCGATGATGATTTACCGTTAGCTGATTACAGACGGCGACTACAAAGTGCGCCAACTATTTAAAAGGAATATTTAGGCATCAATCGTTTAACATTTAACGTTTAACGTTTATCACAATGTTGTAGATGTGTTTGAAACTTTGATAGCGGCCTTGGAAGCTACAAGAAAATCGTTCGCCTTGAAATGATTTGAATATCTTTTGTATAATAATCGTTTGTTAAAAAGCTAACATAACGAAATGTTATAATATGACATATATGGTTATATGTATAACGGAATAACATTATTGCCTAGTACCTATTATATATGTGTATAACGAAGTAAGTACTCAGATTTGGACTATTCGGGTGAAGAAGTAATGAAGTTTTAAAATTTCGGATTATTCTCATATGTGTTATGAGTTATTACAATTTATACACAATTTATACACAAAAACATTTATCGCAGTGAACAATAACTACACAAAAACATGGCTATAAGTTGCTGTAGGTGACTATAAGTGGCTGTAAATAAATGACAAAATAATGAATTGTAGTACATATGTAATTAGCTGAAAAATGAAAGTAATATTCATGCATTCATGTTTAGCTTTCTGTTGCAGGTGATATTAAAGAACATGCGTCACTTTCGCTGAGTCGTGGCTGGCGAGAAAAGGGGAAACTTGTAAAAACAAGTAAGTAAGTACTTTAGCTAAATTAATGAAGAATGCAGAACCGGCGGCAATACACGATTTCTCAATATGTATGGAAACTTTACTCGAAACCGGTCCATATACGCAGAGAATGAAGCCAGCCAGAATAATCTGAGTTTATCGATCGACTCTTAGTTGCCAACTTGGCAACGGTAAACTCCCGGAATTACGAATGAAATGTTCTACATAGTGAAACAGTTGGCAAATCAGGCCTGCTTTTCATACCTTTGCAAGATCCTTGTCATATACCTTTTATATGATATACGGAATTCCGTCTTCCTTCCCGAATGTTTTATATTTAGTATCTAATTTTCTCTGAAAACGATGAATTGCGATCAACATTATATTATAGTATATTATTACTATGCGAATAATATTGAATTATTTGTATTTAATTAGTATGTTATTTAATTAAGAACGCGTACTGACTGAAAGTGTCATTTATACAAATAAAGGAATATGTATATATATTATATTATGGCATTATAGAAACGCGTGAGGGCGAGCGATAGAGAATAGAGAAAAGTACCTCCATTGCCCTTGTGTCGCTCCGCGGCACTTTCCAACGCACTATACATAATATGTATGAGGATTGCGCTAGTATAGCGGTCCAAACACGTTTCTGAATATCATATACAATATTGAAAATATACATATATATATATATATATATATATATATATTGCACAGTACATACAGAAACCACGATCGTATCGTCTCGTTTGTGCAGGCAGTTCTTCACTGTTGAGCGTTGAGTCACACAGACGAGCGTTAATCGCACTTAAGACTATACGATAAAGCTGGACGGAAATGCTCGATAACTTTTACCACGAATCCCGTGTCAAACTTGAACGCGATCATACCATTGCCATTATACCGTTGTACAATATCGGCAATTTGTTTGCGCGCTCTCTCGTAATCCGTGCAACGGAAATTTAAGTCTGTTACATTTACGCGAAGCTCCTATATAGTTCCATGCGAACAAACAATGCTTTGAAATCGTTCTACTTGTAATTGTGACGAGACTGTGACAATTAGTTGTAAGCTTTGAAAATCCTTGACGATCTAAATTACATAATTTCGTTCGACTAATTCATAAATTAATTTACAAATATTTATGTCAATTAATTAAATTAGTTATTATTCTAAGACTTTTAGTTTCCCACTTTTTGTCTTTTATATTGAAATTATGAAATAAAATGTTTCCCGCATAAATTGCTTTCATACGTACATTTCATCTTTTTAGAATCTTCGATGTACATTTTAAATCATTGCTAATTGTAATCGCGGTTATTCAAAAACAAACGAGGAATAATGTATAGAGTGCAGGAAACAACGTCCATTGCGTTCAAAGCTGCACGATTTATGTATGTATGCGTATGTAGTTCTGGCTTCCAGAACACCCTTCTATCAGTGGTTCCCAGTCACTTATTGGACATTTGCATAAAATTTCGAACGAACATTTTTTATTCTTTTTCAAAGTAATAAGTGGTAGAAATTACGCGATTCTAAATGGTATTTGTAGATTTCGATATTTATAAGAAAAAATTTCGTTACGTTACGTTAATATTTTGATATGTTGTAAACTCAGAAGACTGAGAGTTACTGATCCAAGTCGTGGAAACGCTATTGATAGAATTTGTGGAAACAGAGGGCAGTTGAGAAGAATTGAAAAGGTTACAAGAGTAGGCAGGCAAGGTTTTTTGGTATAAAGGTTGCGTACGGTTGTCGGCATCGGACTTGTAGTCGCTGTTATTAAATGAAGAACAGTCAGACTCGTCGCAGGGCTACATTTTATAATGTGTGACACGTATTTCTAAACTGATGCGACGGGACTGGTTTAATGTTCGATCGATCGGCTCGGTCTAAGTAGCTAAACAGTACGGGGTCGGTGATGCTTATTGTAAGATCATGGATAGTGAATCACCCTCGACCATCAGGTATATACCTACGTACGTTCTTTAGGTATGCTGTTATCAAGCTTGGTCAGGGAGGGAACTAATCCAGCGATGCCGACGGTAGAATGAAATGGACAGGGGAAATTGTGAGAAAATCGATACAGTAAACTGCGTTTTTTGATTCAATGAAATACGATATAAATGAATTTTTCGAATTTCGAGCAAAGAAATAAATATAATATAATATTATATATATGTTTGTAAATGTGAATATATATATTTTTATAATTCTAGCTTGTAATCGTAGCCCATTTTGTGCCACTGTATAGAAACAGAAAAATGTCACTTTTTCTGCTATTATCCAATATTCACTTTTTACTTTCAACTTTGTCATGTTCTCTCTTCTTTCCTTTTTCAAATGTTTTAATCTTTATTCTGAAAGTCGCAAAACTCGATCAACACCTCAAATACCTCGATAAACACTACCTCAAAATGTTTTAAACTAGAAACGACCAGCTAACTTTTTCCTTAGGTCAAAAATACAAATTTTTGCTTCCAGAAATTGAAATAATATATGTATTGACTGATATCTGACTGATATAAAATATATATTTTGCACCGAGTACATATTCCGAACAGAAAATAAAAATTTGTCATCTTTCGTAATTCTTCGTTCACTTTTTTAAATTGTTGTTTTTATTGATCCTATGAAATATATTATTCAATTTTTAAAAAGCGGAAGCAAAATAAAACAGAAAAATAGAATTCAGTAAAAATAAAAAGGAAAAATAGAAATAAAAAAATGTATCGTCTTTTGATTTAAATATAATTAGCGTCACATTGATATTGATAAAGGAGGAAAAGAAAGATAATCTAACCTCAACCAAGTAAAATGAAAGAAGGGCAGAAATGTAGAATTATGTAACATAATGTAATATTAGTTAACGAATACCCGTACATATGTATTATGATATCCATTTACTTAACTTAACAGTGGAAGAATAATAGGTATAACAAGGCTCACCCTTTTTTCCTCGTAGTTTGCATTAGTAATACAGTTTATAAATATGTAAATAACTATCAAGTAACTTTAGAGTAATCTATATATATTTTATAGTTAGGTACAAGGACCTTATCGAATCGCTTTTCTTTTTGACATATTTTGATACAATAAGGATTTCAGACAAAAAACGTACTTGAATAATTGTGCAAGAATTTATTATTAACGTGGTACGTGATATATCTTGCAGTTTTATATATATAATGAAAACCTCATACTCGACACATATTCGTGCTTCTTGAAAGGTATAGTTATCAGCGCAAATCCAATATACGTATAATATATACATTTTTACATTATATCATCAAATGTAAGACTGAATGTATTCAAGGACTTTCGAGCAATGAAAACATTATTAACATGTACTACCGTATAATATTCATTACGTGTTACATGTTACAATATATTAGACTATTACAAAAATCAATGCCTTGTTTCGAAATCTCCAATAAGGGTAAAGGTACCTTATAAGAATAAGAATACTTTATCGAGAATTAAAAGTCTAATAAATACGTATAAAAGTATAATATTATTTTAGAAATCTGCTACAATTTTACTTTAACCTTTAAAAGAGTATATATATGTAATTGCATGTTATTTTACAATATATACCTACATAATAAATTTTTTCAAACCATATTTTAAATGATCTAACTCATATTTATATATTATATCATAAATCAAGCCGGTTTCAAGTAGGTGACAAATATTTGAAACATTTTACAATATCTTATAATATGTAATTTGTATCGGATAGGTTACATTTATTAAATAGTATATCATAATGTATAGTATTAATATGTAATATTATATAAGATATATAATATAATATATAATGTTATGTTATGTCTAGACATATTACAAAAATTATCTATATTATTTAACCCTTTTAGTGCCAATGACTATCGCTGCGTATGCGATGGACGCCTTACTACTCGCATCGTCAGAGTACTTTATGCCAAAATAAATTTATAAAACGTTGTAAATCTTTGAATTTTTCTGCGGAAGCCCTGTGTGAGATATTCCACAAACTGAAAAAATTGTTTATGGGTTTAACTTTTTGTTACATTTCGCGATGATTGATACCGACACTCCGTATACGCTATTGCCATAAGATAAAAGTTCGACACGGGAGATTTGCTTGAGATCGTAATCACAGGTTTTAGGTAACACTGTTTGTAACAGAATATCTCCTTATGTTTCACAAAATGATCTTGCATCAACAGGGCGAGAATAAAATTTTTGGTGGGCCAGTGCGAAGATCGCGCACAATTTGTAATCTGTATAACAAAGGACTACAGGATGTATTTATTAGTAACCATCAATGCTATGTAAATTATTTGTGTGACTAATAATAAGTAAATAATACACATTCACTATAATAATATTAACTATAAATGTTTATAATAATATTAGAACGTTATTTCTGTGATGTCATACTAGCTACACTAATCACTTGTTTTCTCAACACTTTGTTCTCAACGCTGTTTCTAATCACTTGTTTCTACAAGAAAATTGATAGCTCCATTTTACTTAATGATTTTGAATAAGTATTACTAGTATGATTTTCAACACATTTTGACCAACCAATTGAAATACAATTGGCATTAATTTATTCTCCTTTATTTCGTACTATGTTCCTTTTTAATTTTGAAAATATCATTCTTACTTTTCTTTCTGACTTTTCCTCAAATCTTATCAAATCATACCAATTGATTCGGTATTTTTCGCTTAGGTACAATTCTTTTGGTAGCCACTAATGGTTGACATAACGTTTAAACAATTTGTTAAATCGTTTATTTTTCAGTAATAATGTATAATTAATCTACACTAGAAAATACTAATATTTCTTTAATATTTCTTATTTCTTAGATCGTATATTAGTATATTTATATGCGTATCCGTAACTGAAATTTCAGAAAAATGTTGTGAGGACAGAAAATTATCAATTGCAAGCTTGATGTGGGTAGTGTATATAGTATACAGTATACATAAACCAATTGAGAACCTTTATTCGCGCAGACGATCCGTATTCGGGACGCAGCTGCAAACATTTGCGCAGCCAAAATCGCGCAGATTACGGTCACGTGACCGACAGTTATGGTGGGAATCGGAACGACCCAATTAGAGTGCGGCTACTATCCCCACTCTAGATTGCGCGAACAAAGAGACAAAGCTACTTCATTCGCGTCGACGGTCGCTGCCACTAGAAAGTCGTTGGCAGTTGGTGGGTGCGGTTGTTGTGTGAGTCGGAAAAAAGTGTGTCGATTGAGTTTCGCGAGAAAGTTTTGCCCGGTTACAAGGTGCACTAAGTGAAGCGTAGAAGAAAAGAAGGTTATTGTTGCTGCGTTCTTTGAATTTTACGTTTCATCGTTTTAACGAATCTCTGTGGTATATCTCAGAGATCGATTGGGAGAAACGAGTTGGAACGCGTTCACGATCGAAAAAGTTACGATCGTCACGACATCTCTGATTTACGACAGATTAATTTCGTCGCTTTTGGGAGACCATCCCAACGAAATTTGAAAATTCTAAAACAGAAGATACGCGCGACTATCGCCGAGACTTTTAAGATTGGAACAAATTGTGTCATATCTTAGTCGATATTTGCGAAAGAACAATCGAAAAGCGCTCAGTATTTCTTTTCGCGCTGGAGCGTCGACGAACGAATACTAAACGCGATCGTGCGACGTGGCGGCGACGCCATTTTGTGAAGACTCCTGTGTGCGAACCGCGAGCAACAACGGCCTCTCTCGAGCCGTGACCTCTCGAATCACGGAAGGAATAGTGCTTTCTTTTGATCGCGTCCTCTCACGTCTCTATCGGGCGAGAAAACAACGGAAGAAGTGGAAGAAAAGGAAGAGTGGTACTGTATTATCAGCAAAATTCTATCATAGACCGTTCGTCCTGGGTCGCATTGCATACCAACCATGAGACTGGAAATTGTGTCAGCGGCGGATTTTTTGGTGCATCTACTGCGTCTTCAGACAGGTCAACTGTCTGAACGTCAGCTGGAGATGTTCAAGTCCTCTTTGACGGAGGTTTTGCGTCATCGTTACAGGGATCACTGGTTCCCAGATCGACCAAATCGTGGTTCCGGTTACCGTTGCATACGTATCAACGGTAAAATGGATCCAGTCATTGCACAGGCAGGTGCTAACGTCGGTTTACTGCCAACGGTATTGCATAGCTTGTTTCCAAGCGAGCTCACCATGTGGATCGATCCATCGGAAGTATCCTACAGAATCGGTGAAAACGGGTCTATTTGCGTTTTATACGAACGTACAGAACCTGAACCGGAAGAATCTCATCAGCACCAACATCAGCATCAACATCATCAACAGCAACAGCAACAACAGCAGCAGCAATTCGAAAGTTGCAAGGATTCGTTGTTATTGGAGCATTCGCAATTTAGCGAGCAGATCGCCGCGTTCGTTTCCAGTTGAAGCGTTTTTCTACGTAAATTCATCGATGCAACAACACTAGCATCTTGTTTCGTTTTCACTGGACGTGCATCACGCTCTCGGATTGATCAAAGCACATGGGTTTCATGATATGTGATGGCGTTCCTCCGGTCGGGTGAATGTTTGACTCGTGCACACGAACGCGCAATTTTACTCTGTATAAGTCGAGTTTCGAAGGAAATGAAGTGTGCATTGTTCTATCTAAATAAGGACAACAAACGTGTAAAAAAAGTGTTTAACCGTTTTTTTTTGGCTAAAGTTGATTTAACCGAAAAAATTCGTCCAATACGTATCGTTCGACGAGCTTTTGTCGGAATCCCAGCGATCGTTATCACGACCGACTCTAGTCCAACCGTACACATACATATGTGTCATCCTGAATTTTTGTCAACCATACGAAAGAGGAAGAGAGGATATTCATGGCAAGAAGAGCACCATCATCGTTTGAATATTCGAGGAGAATATTGCGCGTTCGCGTAACGACGATGTCTAACTAGACCAGTGGTCCTCATACGTTTTGGCGTATTTCACGAGAAGATCCAGTTTTTCCAGCTTTTTCTGTTGAAAATACCGACTGCTAGCGAGATCGCGCCCGCAAATGTGAGAAAATAATATATGGGCGAGCTCCGCTCCGAGGGTCTCTCTCAGACCGACAAATTGATCTCAGCTCACCTCCCGCGTACTTCCGTTTATCTCGAAAAGAAGTTACGTCTGGAGTGGGGGAACAACGAACCAGTCTGTGGCCCTCTCTCTGTTCTCGTGAGAGGAAAAGCGAAACAAGCTTCTCTCCCCTCTCCCCCTCTCATGGAAAGGATTCAACAATGTGTTTTTATCGTCGCAAATCTCTTTTCTTCCACGAACGTTTTTTATCTATCAATCTAATTGATTATTCTGAACCCTCTCGTGTTCCGATGTTCTTGGTATGCTTTCCCTCCGCTGATGAAAGTCGAAGGACGAACATCGAGGACGAAGATGACAAAAGAAGCAATTGGTTTTCCAGTGAAAAATTGACGAATAACATGTATACTGCATTCTCTCTTCTATCCGCATGGTCAATACGCTGGTTGAGCTTCAAGGATTTTTTTTCTCTCTAACCTCGCACGGTCAATGCAAATTACCACCGAGTCACACACATACGAGTATACCAAACACATACCAAGAAAAACCAATATATATATGTTTCCGTCGCCACTTTGTCCAACATACAGAAGAGACCTGTTACTATAAACGATTATCAATCTGTGTCAACCTTTCCATTTTCTTCTTTGATCTGGAGCTTCTCTTACAGCACGCGTTAACAAGCATGCTAACGGCAATCATATTTATCAACTATCTTCGATGTCACTGGTATCGTAGCAGTGGCCCATTATCGTTCTTGGATCGGCCATAGCCATTGTTTCATTGGTCATCAGTAGTCGAGCAGTCTCGAACTCGATCCACGCGTTGGCATCGTTGACACAATAAGAATACATGTTACACTTCATACGTACAAACCTTTAACAAAATGCGTGAGTTTTATATGTACATATATATAGGTATTATGTATGTAGAGAGCACGTATTGCGCAAGCCGATGGAAACCATATTTGCGCGAATACGTTGCGCCAAATTGTATATTATGTATCTGTTTTGCGAGTATAGAGCGAGGGGGAACGAATGTATAAAAGAGAGCACAAGAAACTGAGTGCGTGATTGAAAGTGAGAATGTGTGCCGTGTGCGTTGCGTGCATATTATGTTGCGTACGTGTGTTGCCATATAGGATGATTGAGAGTAAGAAAGAAAGAAAGAAAGAAAGAAAGGAAGGAACAGTGTCGTGTACAGTGTGCGTGAAAGCAAGCAACAAACATGAGGCAAACATCTGTGATTTTCTTCGAACGAAGAGAGGGCATGTTTCGTGCATATATCGAATAATTATCTTTTCTGGTGTTTCGAACGTGACAGAGGAATCGAGTCAAATGAAGAATATATGTATGTATATTGATATGAATAAGGAGTGAGCAAAAGTTTATCCTTTTCATCGCAACCTCAGTTTTTTTTGTATTGCTCGATCTCTTTCTCTTATCGCTTTAGTTTTCTACTTTGCAAAATTGGTACAATCGAACAACCGCGAGCAACAACGGCCTCTCTCGAGCCGTGACCTCTCGAATCACGGAAGGAATAGTGCTTTCTTTTGATCGCGTCCTCTCACGTCTCTATCGGGCGAGAAAACAACGGAAGAAGTGGAAGAAAAGGAAGAGTGGTACTGTATTATCAGCAAAATTCTATCATAGACCGTTCGTCCTGGGTCGCATTGCATACCAACCATGAGACTGGAAATTGTGTCAGCGGCGGATTTTTTGGTGCATCTACTGCGTCTTCAGACAGGTCAACTGTCTGAACGTCAGCTGGAGATGTTCAAGTCCTCTTTGACGGAGGTTTTGCGTCATCGTTACAGGGATCACTGGTTCCCAGATCGACCAAATCGTGGTTCCGGTTACCGTTGCATACGTATCAACGGTAAAATGGATCCAGTCATTGCACAGGCAGGTGCTAACGTCGGTTTACTGCCAACGGTATTGCATAGCTTGTTTCCAAGCGAGCTCACCATGTGGATCGATCCATCGGAAGTATCCTACAGAATCGGTGAAAACGGGTCTATTTGCGTTTTATACGAACGTACAGAACCTGAACCGGAAGAATCTCATCAGCACCAACATCAGCATCAACATCATCAACAGCAACAGCAACAACAGCAGCAGCAATTCGAAAGTTGCAAGGATTCGTTGTTATTGGAGCATTCGCAATTTAGCGAGCAGATCGCCGCGTTCGTTTCCAGTTGAAGCGTTTTTCTACGTAAATTCATCGATGCAACAACACTAGCATCTTGTTTCGTTTTCACTGGACGTGCATCACGCTCTCGGATTGATCAAAGCACATGGGTTTCATGATATGTGATGGCGTTCCTCCGGTCGGGTGAATGTTTGACTCGTGCACACGAACGCGCAATTTTACTCTGTATAAGTCGAGTTTCGAAGGAAATGAAGTGTGCATTGTTCTATCTAAATAAGGACAACAAACGTGTAAAAAAAGTGTTTAACCGTTTTTTTTTGGCTAAAGTTGATTTAACCGAAAAAATTCGTCCAATACGTATCGTTCGACGAGCTTTTGTCGGAATCCCAGCGATCGTTATCACGACCGACTCTAGTCCAACCGTACACATACATATGTGTCATCCTGAATTTTTGTCAACCATACGAAAGAGGAAGAGAGGATATTCATGGCAAGAAGAGCACCATCATCGTTTGAATATTCGAGGAGAATATTGCGCGTTCGCGTAACGACGATGTCTAACTAGACCAGTGGTCCTCATACGTTTTGGCGTATTTCACGAGAAGATCCAGTTTTTCCAGCTTTTTCTGTTGAAAATACCGACTGCTAGCGAGATCGCGCCCGCAAATGTGAGAAAATAATATATGGGCGAGCTCCGCTCCGAGGGTCTCTCTCAGACCGACAAATTGATCTCAGCTCACCTCCCGCGTACTTCCGTTTATCTCGAAAAGAAGTTACGTCTGGAGTGGGGGAACAACGAACCAGTCTGTGGCCCTCTCTCTGTTCTCGTGAGAGGAAAAGCGAAACAAGCTTCTCTCCCCTCTCCCCCTCTCATGGAAAGGATTCAACAATGTGTTTTTATCGTCGCAAATCTCTTTTCTTCCACGAACGTTTTTTATCTATCAATCTAATTGATTATTCTGAACCCTCTCGTGTTCCGATGTTCTTGGTATGCTTTCCCTCCGCTGATGAAAGTCGAAGGACGAACATCGAGGACGAAGATGACAAAAGAAGCAATTGGTTTTCCAGTGAAAAATTGACGAATAACATGTATACTGCATTCTCTCTTCTATCCGCATGGTCAATACGCTGGTTGAGCTTCAAGGATTTTTTTTCTCTCTAACCTCGCACGGTCAATGCAAATTACCACCGAGTCACACACATACGAGTATACCAAACACATACCAAGAAAAACCAATATATATATGTTTCCGTCGCCACTTTGTCCAACATACAGAAGAGACCTGTTACTATAAACGATTATCAATCTGTGTCAACCTTTCCATTTTCTTCTTTGATCTGGAGCTTCTCTTACAGCACGCGTTAACAAGCATGCTAACGGCAATCATATTTATCAACTATCTTCGATGTCACTGGTATCGTAGCAGTGGCCCATTATCGTTCTTGGATCGGCCATAGCCATTGTTTCATTGGTCATCAGTAGTCGAGCAGTCTCGAACTCGATCCACGCGTTGGCATCGTTGACACAATAAGAATACATGTTACACTTCATACGTACAAACCTTTAACAAAATGCGTGAGTTTTATATGTACATATATATAGGTATTATGTATGTAGAGAGCACGTATTGCGCAAGCCGATGGAAACCATATTTGCGCGAATACGTTGCGCCAAATTGTATATTATGTATCTGTTTTGCGAGTATAGAGCGAGGGGGAACGAATGTATAAAAGAGAGCACAAGAAACTGAGTGCGTGATTGAAAGTGAGAATGTGTGCCGTGTGCGTTGCGTGCATATTATGTTGCGTACGTGTGTTGCCATATAGGATGATTGAGAGTAAGAAAGAAAGAAAGAAAGAAAGAAAGGAAGGAACAGTGTCGTGTACAGTGTGCGTGAAAGCAAGCAACAAACATGAGGCAAACATCTGTGATTTTCTTCGAACGAAGAGAGGGCATGTTTCGTGCATATATCGAATAATTATCTTTTCTGGTGTTTCGAACGTGACAGAGGAATCGAGTCAAATGAAGAATATATGTATGTATATTGATATGAATAAGGAGTGAGCAAAAGTTTATCCTTTTCATCGCAACCTCAGTTTTTTTTGTATTGCTCGATCTCTTTCTCTTATCGCTTTAGTTTTCTACTTTGCAAAATTGGTACAATCGAACAACCTTGTTTCATTTATACATATATATATATATGTATATATATATATATATGCAATAGAAGTCGTGATGGGTATATTACGTGTTACACGCGCAAGTGTATGTGTGTGTGTTTCAATTTCATTTACAAGAAAATTTTGCTAACTTAAAACATGAAATTTTTTTTAAACTTTCGTAACTTTGTAGGAGAGTCCCATATAAATATGGGACAATTTTTTCCTCTCCTTTTCACTTCTACTATTAGAGCTAATGTATATTTTCCTATTCTTCTCTCACACACACTGTATTACTCTTATTCTAGGAATTGTCAATCTTCTCAAGTCCAAAAATATTACACAAAAATGTTCACTTTAACAATGTATTTATACTCATTACGGCTTTCAAAATATGTATACAGGAAAATGGGGAAACATGCCGACTTGCAAAGATTATTTTCTTACAGAAGAAGTAGAAAGTAACAAGAAAAAATTGTCTGACACCTACATTGTTCAAAGCTAGAAAGTTTTAAGAAAACGTACGAAATTTCCTAGGTTCTCGGAGCTTTCTTGATAACAATTCTATTGTTTCGAGATAAAATCGTTCAATTATACATATATGTACATACTCTCGTATATGTATATATATATGTAGACACAGTGTTTCATCATGGGTTCTCCGATGGCGTATCTAGTTTAGTGGGATTTTGATAACTATCAAGTAGAATATGAAAACGACCATCGTCCGATAATATGATTGGATGATATATCGTTTCTTCTTTTCTTCTGTGACGGAAATACTTGTTCGGAATATTCGCGTAATATTAACTCGCGCTAAAAATTGAAACGTGGTGTGCAAGAATTTGAGAGAGTGTCGTTCATTTGTAATGATCATAGTATGAAATCGTGAACACGTATAGTATGATAGAGGACAAAAAACGAAGAGAGAAAAGATAAGTATGTTTGTGAAGAATAGAGCGAAATGGAAAGAGTAGCCTTGTCGCGTTCGGTGTCGAATCAGAAGTGTTTGTATGTAGCAATTATATAGAAACCATGTCTGTGATTATATTAAAAATAGAGAGACAATATGAGCAATCTCTGTGTGCGAGAGCGACCTAATTAGAAGTGCGTGTATGCGTCTCTGAATAAGATCATGAGTACACGTGCCTGTATCGTACTAATATCTAAAAGTATATAATATATAAATATGTTTATATTGAAAAGTATGCGTGGCAATTTTAAACGAATTTAATTTATAGATTAATTATGTTCGCGATCAACCTCTGCGGATTGTGCATTACATATATGTATATGAACGTTGTCTATACGCATTAATTTCACTTCTTTCTGTTTGCATGTTCTTCCATCCACGTAAACGAGCTGCACTTTATGTTGGAAAAGATTCGATCGTTCCTATCGGTTACTTTGGTTTCTCTCCTTTAACGAGTCCTATACGTTTACATATTTTGTTAATTTGCAGTCGATGAACACATTAATACGAATTTGTGAACGTTCGATTAAAATTGCTAAGCATGCTCAAATTGTGACCGAGCGCGTAAAACTACAAGAATAGAAAAAGAAGAGATTCGAATTCGCTCTTTCATCTCGAAGATCAGAAATGCAAACCGATTCTCTCTAAACGACCTATTGGGAAATCTGTCGAAAGTAATGTTGGACGAAACAAGTGAAAGTGTGAGAGTCGAACGGCGACGTAGAAAATCTCGCACACCGTCTAGTACTTACCATAGAATCACATAGCGCAGTTTCAGACAACAGCTAGAAAAAGACAACATTCCCTTTCCGTTTTATTTGCCCTTCGCTTGTTGGAGCCAGGAAAAAACAAAATTTTCACAATATCGTATAGGGAGTACTCGTTTAATATATGCCGTTGGATTCGCCTATGTGGATTATACACGTTGTAGATTATATCACACGTAACAGATGAACACATACACGAAATGAATGACATGACACGCGTAGCGAGCGAACAAGCGGAAACTCAGCGAAACAAATTGCAAGAATGAGAGTGAGAGAAAAGCAGAACACCGTTTCATGAGTGAATTGTAATTACTATATATCCATATACATATATATACGAATATATTATATATACATATTTATATGTATATATATGTGTATATACATATATGTATATATATGTGTATATACATACATGTATATATATGTATATATACACACATACACACACATCTTGTAACTATACATAGGGTCCTTCAGGAAGAATTTGTACAAACCCGCTGGGATATGGCACCAGCAGTCTGTGATTTTAGCTTGGTTAATTCAGTATTTTTTTAAATAAAGCGAGACAAAATCAAGATAAATGATAAAAAAAAAACAAGATTCGAATTGCGAGCAAGCTCGTGCATGAGATACGAGCAAGAGAAAGTTCTGCATGAGAAAACATTGTCGTTCACTGTGTACGTATGCTAGGGCCAGGGGTGGGGATGATGATGACGATGATGATGGTAGGGTTGGGGCGAATGTAAAGAACGCTTGCGGGAGGAAGGAGAGGGAAATGCAGGGAAGAGAACATATTGCAAAGTGCAAATGGAAAAAATATTTATTGCGTGTATATTTAATGCGACACTTGTACAAAAAATCCCAATAATTTAATATTTCAATTTTTTTAAATATGCGCGATTGTTGCAAACAATTGCCCTTTGAAATTCGCGAAAATTGTAAATACGATATTAATGTAAATGCGATGTATTTCAATCGTGAATTCACAAAAGTGACGCGTGAGACGGAAAGCGAGAATTTATTTTTTTTATTTTCTTTATTTTTCAAAATGAAATTCAAACATTATGTATGTATATATTTTAATATTAAGTTTATAGATTTTAATTTTCTATAGCCGGAAATTTTAGAGCTAGTTTAATTATAAGTTGTACGGTTGTGGTTTCAAAATTATAATATATATTGATTATATTGATCGATTACAGTCTCGCTTCGCGTAAACACGTGCAATTTTGCGATTGTTTCGAGATAGATTTATATACATAAATGCGAATACATGCGTCTTCCGTTCGTATTTTTCATTGTGTTCCCTCCGCTTTCTCTGTTGATATAAAATGACGAGTAACTGAGATTGTGTGAGAGAGAAAGGCAATAGTCGAAATAGTAAATCTGACATGTATATGAAGCGCGAAATTAAACTACATACATGCCGCGTGTCTTTCTTTTCTGTCAAATAAACTGTTTTGTTGGGACACCAGGAAGGAGAATGCACGAGATATATAGTATAAAGAGAGGGTATAGTTTAAAAAGGAACAAGGAAAATCAAGCGATTAGTCCGAGTCGAAGCATTTTTTTTCGAACGTGAGAACGAGAGAAAGCGTGGAAGAAAGAGAGCGAGAGAGGGAGAGGGTGAGGTTTGAGAGTATAACGAGGGATAAAAAGGAGAATGGATATTGGACATTAGGAGAGCGTATAGCCTGACAGGGGTGCTCAACTCGGATAAAGTGGGCCGTGGGTCTCATCGTGGTAACATAATTGTGATACCGCATTTACTGTATCGATTAGGGAAAATTCATACTGATTTTATTACGTATTCTCGTTTGAGACGAAAACCAAAAGGGAAGAACACTGACCCAAGGTTATCGAGATCCGAATTCGGCGACCCTGTTGGCCAGTGCACAAGTAAAAAAGAAACATTCGTTCACATATACACAAACGTACAGAACAGGCAGGACAGCTAATTGTAAGACACATAGAGACATACATAGACAAACTTTTATACATATACATACATTGGACGCGTACGATACGATATAACACGACACGCTATGATTTCAAAATAATTGCGGGCGAAATAATCTGTTCGAAGAACTCTGCATAAAAGAAATTCACTTTACCGATGTATGTATACTATACCGTCATTAACAAACACATGTAAAACATACGTGGCAGACACGAATACATACACACACACTCACGCGTAGACGAATAAACTTTGACGAGATACATGGAACAGACACGAGGAACACGTTACGTACACTCTCGAATCTGTAGACTGTAGGTTTAATATTAATTATTACGAATTATAATTATTATATATCTATTATTATATCAATGTATAATTATATTTAGTTTTTAGGTTACTATGTTTATCATTTCCCGCTTGTACATATGCCGTGAGCTCGAAAAAATTAAATCTTTATCAAAAGAAATCTATAATTTTTTCGACTGTTTTTGTACAGAGATAATAAAAACAAAGGCCTCGTGCTTATGAAATTTCATGAATATAAAATACCGCTGTCTAGTGTTTTGATTTTTGTCCTAAATCCCACATACCAATTTCCTCTGTATTAGTTCGCAGATCGATAAATTTACATATTTGAACATCGAGTTTTTCATAATGTCGCTATTTCAATATAATAAATATTCAGTATGAAGTAGTTCACAAACTATACAATAATATATACTAGGAAGAATCTTGGCAAATTATACAGGGTGGTTGGTAACTGGTGGTACAAGCGGAAAGGGGGTGATTCTATGCGAAAAAACAAGTCGAAAATATGGAATAAAAATTTTTCGTTCGAGGCTTTGTTTTCGAGAAAATCGACTTTGAATTTTTGCTCGGTACGCGCGCGGTACGTTATAACGGATCTCACTGTAGATCGTTGTCTCGATGGAAAAATTTAAAAAAGAAAAAGAAAAGATTAAACAAAATTTTTATTCTATATTTTCAACTTCTTCTTTCGCGTAGAATCGCCCCCTTTCCGCTTGTACCACCGGTTACCAAGCACCCTGTATAACGAAATCATAAATTATTATTAAGGGGGTATTCTAGTCTAGAGACATGAATTTCGGGCAGTTTTTGAAGCTCTGTACGAACGAAACAAAAAATATTTTTACTATCCATTTTTTTATCATTTGTTTATTGATATTTTAAGATTACATAAAAAATTAACCGAAAAAAGAAACTCAAAATTCACGAAGTTATGAGCTGGCAAAGTGGGGGATCCAAAAAGAAGAGAGTGTTCTGGCGTGCATGATTTCAACTCTTCTGGTCATCTGAAACAAAAAAGCCGAACGGATTCTTAATTAGTACAGATGCCGCTATAGCATGAACCTTAAAAAAGTAAAAAAAATTTTTTTCACGAAGTGGCGGCCGTTTGAATTTTGTTTCGAAAAATTTTTGTTTCGGACGGCCGCCATTTTGTGAAAAAAATTTTTTTTTGTACCCCCCACTTTGCCAGCTCATAACTTTGTGAATTTTGAGTTTCTTTTTTTCGTTTAATTTTTTATATAATCTTAAAATATCAATAAACAAATGATAAAAAAATGGATAGTAAAAATATTTTTTGTTTCGTTTGTACAGAGGTTCAAAAACTGCCCGAAATTCATGCCTCTAGACTAGAATACCTCCTTAAGTACAATACGATGCTTGATGAAGTATTCATATTTTCTTTTATCTCTTCTCTTGATTTTTAGTAATTTGTACATATAATAAGAATCAAATCGAAATATATGTCATACACATGTATGTACTTGAAAATCTCATTTATTGCTTTGATTATAGTTTCGTTTCAAAAGTTACACTTGTATTTGTGTATTTTTATAATATATATTGCAGTATATGAATATATTTGTTAATAGAGTAAGATTCTTTCGCTATTTTAAAACGATTTGCGCGTCATGATAAAACAGGATATTTTAAACATTATTGCTCGTTTTACTATATTTTTTCAAGGTACATACTGTGATAGTAGAATTAAGTTTCAAAGTGACGTGATTCTATTACTTACATACGACATAACTACATATATCCGAAATTTTTGATGAAAATGAAAAAAAAGCGTTAACAATTCCATGTACAATTTCCAATTTAGGATGACTACTGCAAATCACGCAATTGCCATGTATCGTAGATGAGATAAAAATTATTGTATTGTGTGTGTGTGTGTACTTCGATTCACATTCATTCAGAATTAAAAATTTTATTCTACGCATGTTATAACTATATTATCTTTAATTTTTAATTTCATAATTTTGATAGTCAATTACAGATATACATATAAAATTATCGTTCACTTGATTGCCCCTTTGTATGCAATAGCCAAGATTTCTTCCACATATGTAATGTATACGATATCGTGTTCTGTTTACAAGTTATTCTATGTCTGTGATAGAAATTAGATTAATCATTAACGTAAGCGCAGACGTCGACAAATTTTGTTTCTTGAATTAAAATTTCTTATGACACTGAACTGGTACTATTGGCAAAATGAAAAACAGTTGAACGAAAATGATTTCCTTTGTTCTCATAAAAGTGTTTCCTACAATACTTATTCTTAAATGCATTAATAACTTGTAAATTGTTTCTCTTCTACTTGTCCGATAAAAAGATATGTAGCATCCATATATTCTCCTTTACTTCTTGACTGTTTGTATATCGTATGTTCACAATTGCCTAAATTCAACAAATATTATATAAATGTTACAGCTTAACATAATAGTATAATATCTAGTCGCAAATTAATTTTTGCAATTGCAGTTTATCGAAATAATTTGGAAAACGAAGATGTTTAAATGATAGCACACATGTGTACAAAATTGAAATGTCTATTTCGAAAAATGAATAAAAATTTCCCAAAAGTTTCACATAGCGAGTTTGTCGTGCCACAGAAAAGCGCACTTTCCACAAAATGATAGTCAGGAATAATTAATGAATCCGAGCGCGTTTTTCTTGTTACTTTCTAACGATACAAATCGGCTTCATATCGCGTGAGATGTCAGTATCGATATCGATGACGAGCTTTTACTCAACGTTTTAGTGTTAGAACGAGAGCATATCTGTATGGAGTCGTGGTTGTGGAGCGACAATGATGGATAAACGATGAATCAAACACCAGGTAATCGTCGATGTTCAATGATCGAGCGACTGAACTAATTTCGCAAGAACGACGAGTTTATCGTCATAAACGATGCCAATTAAAGTTAGAAGTTAGAAGATAGAGTTAGAATAAAGATAAAGTTAGAAGAAGTGTGTTACCGTGGGAATACGATACGTAACTCTATTAAAAGTCGAACTTTCAAGTTGAAAATCAGCCGCAATTTACCTCGAAAAGAGAGTGCGTCAATTGCACGCTCTGTGTGTGCGCGCGCGCGCGGTGCTCGCGCGTGTGTGTACACGTCATATATTTGGGCGAAGAAATACATTCATGTTAATTAGAGTATGTTTACAGATTAATCAGAGTATGTTTACAGAAAAATACATGATATTATAATAGTATCTTCCTGTTCGGAATTCGTTAAATTTACATGGATCTGTCAGCTTGCAAAATAGAAATTCTTCTGAAATTCTAAAAGTTACGACTAATCGTAAAGATC